GAGCCAGGTGGTGGTGGCTCATGCCTTTCATCCCAGTATTCCAGCACTGGAGGCAGAGGCAGGCAGTTCTTTGTGAGTTTGAGGTCAGCCTGGTCTACAGAGTTTCGTGACATCCAGGGCTACACAGAGAAACCCTGTCTTGAAAAAAAATCAATCAAGATAGAAGTAATTGGAACAGGCACACTTACGGGTAAAGGATCTCCTCAGTCAGTGGAGAGCTTTAGTTCTCCAATCTCCAAAACCATAATATAAAAAATAATATTTTATACATAGAAAGTTATTTCCTCAATACTGTGTAAACTATAAAGACAACATTTTATAGGAAACTTGGTCATTTGAAAACATTGATTGGTAAACAATTTGGGCAAATCTGTGCATTGCTAACAAAAAATGGTAACAAAAATATCAGTCCATTTCTCCTAATTTGTTTACAGTCAGATTGGTTCCCCTAAGCCCTGAAGTCTTTGGATACACATGCCCTTGAAAACGCAACCTGGTGCCTTGGGGAGAAATGATAGGGCATAGGTCATGATGTGGAGCTGTCTTGGATACAGAAGCTCTTGTAGCTCTTGAGAAAGTTGGAAGCATGTATACCCTCAACACCTAAATGACTCCACAAATAAAGACAGAGGTGATTATTACAATTATCTGCGAGAAATTATAAAAGCACATAGATACAACCAATTAGTCATTTGTTGAAAATCTTCTGTTTACCCTCCCTCTAGATTTCTACTTACCTATGTATCTCCCTATTGTTCCTCCACATCCCCCGTCCCTCCTTAAGCTCTGCACAAAGCAGACCACCACTTGCAGGTTCTGTAGACAAAATAACAATCTTCCACCCTCAAGGGTCTCTAAGGATGAATTCTAAAGGGTGCATATAGGGAATGTGTGATCACAGATGTTCTGGTTGTGAAAGCTGTTTTGCTTCATTCCTTTCTCAGTGGGATCAACATTGCCTTTATCACAGGACAGACTGAGAGATAAGGTTTGCTAGAAAAAAGGTCAACCTTTGCATCAGACAGCCTTGTAAAAGGCACTGTCTAAGATAGTGCCTTCCAAGAAAAACAGCATGAGCAGAGCCACATGCATAATTATGTGTTTTTTAGAAGAGATACTAAAACAAGGAAGCAAATCAAGTTTAATTTTAATATATGCTCATTTACAAGTATTATCATGTAGCACATATTATCTGTAAAATTATCCATGAGACATATTTTTACATGCTCCAAAGTCTTCAAATTTTAGAGTAATAGATTTTTTGCACTTATAATAAGTACATTTCAGGTGGGCAAATCACATTTAAGGCATTTGGTAGCTACTTGTGGCCAGTTAGTTTCCATATTGAACAACAAATCTTCTAAGAAAACATTATTCCCCTGTGTATAGCTTGGTTTGATATTATCTTTCAACTGAAGATATTCCAAGCACATTCCAGAAAAGGTCTTCCCATTCAGTTTTATGAGGTCAGAGAGCTTCCTGGACAGATCTGTTAAAACACTTAGAAATCCCCATTGTGTTTGGGGTTTGGTGCCACACACAGTCAGAGTCATTACTGGTTGAGTCTCAGACACAGCAAGTTTGGTTATGACTACCAGCTTTGGAACAAGACACCCTAGGTCTGAAACCTGGCTAGATCAGTCACTGTGTACCCTGCCATAGTTACCACACTTCCATGGGCCTCACCCTCCTCACCTGCAATATACAGATAATCACATGCGAATGATAGTATTTCCTCATGGGGACCAATGAGGCTTTGGTTAGTCAATTTGATTAAAATGCTGAACCCATCACCTCTCACAAAGCAAGCACTATTCAGGTATTTGATAAGAACTATTTTTTTTAAAAAACCTTAGAATTTTTAAAAACTAATTTTCACTTTCTCAATGTGGTCAGTAATTATTTCTTTGGAGAAAACACTTTTGAATGGAAAGCTGTATGGTTCTGAATCAGACTAAAAATCAGAAAACCCGCCAGGCATTGGTGGCGCACACCTTTAATCCCAGCACTCAGGGGGCAGAGGCAGGCGAATCTGTGAGTTTGAGGCCAGCCAGGTCCACAGAGCAAGTTCCAGGACAGGCTCCAAAACAATACAGAGAAACCCTGTCTTGAAAAAAAACCCCAAAAATAAAAATAAAAATTACAAAATCAGAAAACCCAGGGGCTGTGGACCATTTGGAAATAACAACCTATCTATGTTTTGATGTTTTAATTAAGGGAAAACATTTTTCAATGTCTAATTGTTAAAAAGCAGTTGTGAAAATAAAGCTCATGGGAGAATCCTGATCACCCAATCAGCTAATGAGCACTGGGCACAGCTGTGAAGTATGCGAGGCTTAGCTCCACTCGCACCAGGAGACACGAGTCTTCTTTCATTCCCAATACACAGAAACAAAGAACTTTTGCTTTCATTACTGTTGCTATTCTGTTTTCCTCCTGGCCACCATGCTCACCAGTGCCAGGCCCTAAGTGAGCAACTCCCAATTCTGACACTGCCTGGCATCTAACACGTTATCACTCCCTTAATTAACAGTGACTGGAAACAAATAATTTAATTCTGGGGCAAATGAAAATGAATTAACGGTGCCAACTCCATTTCCCAGCTTTCTAATTGTCGGTAACAAAGGATAAGAGGGACGTGTGTTGCCCTGGTGTGAGATTCATTTGCGAAAATAAAAGACAGATGGACAATTAGTGAGATCCTGTTCATCACCCCAACAAATGCTGATGTACCCAGCAGGAAAATCTTTCTTTGTACAGGATAAGAATTTAAAGTCACAAGGATTATGCCAGCCGGATACATTTATTTTCTAAGAGGAAACACTGAAGACTTGGCTTGGTAAAAAGAAAGGAAAAAAAAAGCAGAAATCTGAGCATGGTAGCACATACTTGTAATGCCAGCACTTGAGATGCTGAGACAGGAGCATCATGGGCTGGAGGCCACTCACTCCGAGTCTCAGAGTGTAACCCCATTCAGGGGGGTGAGGGAGGGAGAAGAGAACACTCCAGGAACATATCTAGCTATTTAGAGACAGTGAAACCATACCCCCAAGCAGGTCTCAGCCTAAAATCAACACCCTCCCCCCCATCCCTTCTACATTCACAACAAGGATGACAGGAAGACATCCAAGTCTTGGATTTGGAATGTCCAGGTGACTTAATTATGATGTTGCAAGTTAACAGGACTAAGTATAGTCATTCCAGATATAAATCTGCAATATTCAGGGTGTGGGCTCGATGACCTAGGGCTTCTCTTCATATTCTAATCTTTGAAATAAATGAACCCGGTGGGCAGATGCTCTGCCAGATTAGACTCTGGTACTGATAATCATATCGTTCCCAACAGCGTGTTTTGGAACCTTAGAATGAAGCAAGCACAAGACAGAGCTAGTGACTTCCTGGTCAACTGTGATCCAAACCTGAGCTAAAATGTCACTGATCACCTTACTTCTCAAAGCCCCCATGCTGACTGATAGACTACAATGTAACTTTGGTCTACTGGAATCCAGTCAGTGTCTAGTAAGATTTGAGAAGCATCTATTTATTTAATTAATTAATTAAGTATAGTCTTTCCCTTTGGGCAAAGATTGTGAGAAATAGTCACAATTAATTGATTTTCGCTGATGTAGTGACATCTTTCCTCACAGGAACTTGACTTTTCCCTTATGCAAGTTCTGGGTCTGTAAAGTGGTGCCTACTTGGAAGCTGACTGAGGCGTCATGAGTGTTCAATGATTTGAGTTAGAGATCTCTTCACTCCGTATGGAACATCTCTGTTTGTACAGAATAATAAGAATTTAACAGCTCTCTGCTTCACTTTTGGGAACCACAGGACTTACAGACTTCAGTCTACAGGGTCAGGCCATTGTGATCTCAGCTTGCTCTACTGTCCTGTATAGGACCTACCCTCAGGCAGTTAGCATGTTGCACAACTGTCCTGTATCTGCAGGCTCCAGCCCTTGGAGTCTGCTCAGCATGTATTGACAATATTCTGAAAAACATTGGCTGTAGTTGAACATGTATGTAAGAGAAAGGTATGCTGGGGTTCTCTGATTTTGTTCTGCGGAACTGTGTTCAGCTCTGTAGGATGCCATCAACAGCTACTGGTTGTAACTCCTCAAACCTGCCTCCCTTATTTCATTAAAAAGGTAACCACAGTTCCTAACAACATCTTGGAAAAAACTATCTCTCAGTTGTCAATCAGGAGGCATAAATGTATATTTCTACATTTTTTTCCTTATTCAAGTGGAGTTTTTCATACTCTCATAGCCAGGCCATTGGGTTTGTGAGTAAGTGTGTGTGCTTCAGTCTCTTTTAAGAAAACAGCTATATCGTTGATGCTACTGCATTCCTGCACATGGGTAGTAGAGTGACTCTAGTTAACTCTGCCCAAATCAGGAACTTACAGACAAAATTTACTATTTTTCCCAAAGCAGGCTCTCCCACCTAGTTAAACACACACAGGCAACTTAGACCAGTAAAGCCCAGTATTTGAGGCAACCTAATCCTGGATTTAAGAGCAGTCCCTATAATGTGAACCATTGTAGTAAGTATAGCTCGTTCTTTTATTTTTATTTTTATTTTTTATTTTTTATTTTTTTGGTTTTACGAGACTGTATTGTTTTGGAGGCTGTCGGTCCAGTCCGGCCTCAAACTCACAGAGATCCGCCTGCCTCTGCCTCTAGCTCATTCTTTTAAATCTTCAAAAGAGATGTGTGTTTCTGAATATGTTTTGTTGTACAAACAGAATTCCAGCATGAAAAAAAACAGTCCCCCAGAGGTAATTTACCACACCACCCGCCTTGGAGCATGGGTATTTCAGTACCTTCTTGGATTTAAACATCTATAATTACATTTCTAAGATATCAACACTTCTTAGGCTGACACAAAAATAGAAGAAATGTGCTACAAGTTTCTCTCTTGGTGCTGAGATTTGATAGAGTGGAATTGTACAATGGCGAGTAAACACATTGCTATAAAATACGATGGAGAAAGCCTTACCCGAATCCAGAAAGCAGGCGACAGAGGAGAAAGAAGCCATAGCCTTGGACAAATGAAGAAAGGAAGGCAAAGAATCCGTTGACAGACATGCAAATCAGGAGAGACTGTTTCCTTCCCACTTTGTCTGCCAGTCCTCCCCAGAAGAACGCCCCCACCATCATCCCGAGGTACACTATGCTGCCTGCAACACACAGAAAACGAAAAAACAGGTCAGAGATTGGCAACAAATACATGTAACAGCAAACAAGGCACAAAAGACACTCCATCATTTTGCAGAGGAAAAATAGCTCTAAAGTGCATCATTAGGGATACTGTGATTGGTTGGTAGGTTGGAAGTTAGCTCTGCCAGGTCTTTGACAGCCCTGACCCCCACAGGAGCACCGTGGGAAGCTATTTCCTTTGCCATCACATGTAGAAGACTAGCCTGTCACAGCCCGCCCCAGCCTTGTGAGGATGGGTGTTCCCTGTGAAGGCACGAGAAATCTCACAGAGGAATCCTGGGGTTCGACTGCAGGCTTCCCACTTTTGGTTCAAAAGTGTATCACCATGACAATGACAAGATGAGAAATCAAGTCAAGGACCCGCCATCCCCCCCCCAAGGTCAAAGTGGACCTCAAACTGTTTCAAACTCTGCTTACACCAATGACCTGTGCTAATGCCAGACCTTAACCTTTCTAGATGATTCTGTGTCTTCCTTCTTTCTAGTCTCACTTGAAGACTCTGGCCCTTTCTGCCGAGTTGAGGTAAGTGGACTTAGCGAATACAAGGATGAGATTGTTTCTAGCTCTTTCACTTTTCTCATTGGAGAAGACTCCTAGAGCCAAGAGTTCAGTGAGACAAGGGATAGTTTTAGTATGTCAAGAAATGTTAATGTAGGCTTCCGCCTCTAAGGAAAACAAATAGAAAAGTAGGAGTTAGACTTTCCCCTTGGTGTGAGTGGACACTTGAATTTTTTCTCATGGTTTATTTATTTTTATTTTTCTGTGCATTGATGTTTTGCGTGTGTGTATGTCTGTGTGAACTTGTTGGATCCCCTGGAACTTGAGTTACAGAGAACTGTGAGCTGCCATGTGAGTGCTGGGAATTGAACCTGGGTCACCTGGAAGAACGGCCAGTGCTCTTAACCACTGACCCATCTCTCCAGCACTTTTTAAAAATTATTTATTTTTATTTGTATACATTGGTGTTTTACCTGCATGTATGTCTGTATGAAGTATCAGATTAGTTATAGATTGTTATGGGCTGCCGTGTGGGTGCTGGGAATTGAACTCAGGCCCTCTGGAAGAGCAACCAGTGCTCTTAACCGCTGAGCTCTTAACCTCTGTAGCCCCTCACTTGATTTTTCTAACTCACTGTCCTCTAAGAGAAATAAACCTCGGACAAGCACTGTGCAAACCTTGGTGAGGGACCTAGGTGTGACGAGAGTTTGTTCAGAGCCCTTTCTGAAACAATGAAATGTCTAAGAGAAAAGACACATGAAGGTTTCTTATGTCTAGATGGGCACTAAAGAGGATTAATTCAGTTTTTCATCCATTTCTTTTCCCTTTTATCCCCTATCTCAAGATCCGATTGTACACTCCTGGCTGGCGTAGAGCTCACTGTATAGACCAAGCTTGCCATGACCCTCCTTCCTGCCTTAGCCTCCTGGCTGTTAGATTTCTAGGCATGAATCAGTTGTCCAAGCGCTATTGTTAAATGCACATTCCAGGTAGTCTGACATTGGCATAAGAATGCAAATGGGAGCGGTTAATTTATTGATGGAGACTAGTTTAAGAAACAGTCATTAGTGACCACATAACGAGTCAGTAGGAGGCTTAGAGGAAACCACTTGGCAAGGCCTTCCAACCATCACATGAAGACTGTTCACACAGCCATGGTGAATGGGAAGTGTTGGAACAAGCGTCAACCAGACTCTTTCCTTACCAAAACCAGTTTCCAATTCGACTGCCATGAAGTGGACTATGTATGGCAGACATCATTTTCTCTTTACCACAGGGCTGGCTTCACACTTCCTCCTTCTCCATAGAGATTACTACCCATGAGATCCGCAGGGTCCCAGAAGATGGTTTAGAGAATGCATCCACACAAAGCAGACAGACATGTCTGAGGAATGTGTATGTAGCCTCGTCCTCACGGATAGCATACAATAAGAGGCACATGCTTGTCAGTCACACCTATCAGGATCTGGAGGCTATGTTACTTTGTGTTGGTGTCTGTGTCTTTAAAAATGCCTACACATCAGAAGGCAGGTGTCTAATGGTCAGGAGTGAGTGGCCTGTAGCTCCTGAGACTTAAACACTTGGAAATCCTGCTTATAGTTATAGGTCCAGAGAAAAAGGCCCTCACCCCCCCCCCCCAACCAGGTCCTTCACTTTCCTTCCATCCCAAGAGAAAGCTTCATAACAGCAATACTAATCCCCTCTGTCTGTGGTTCCCTCCTTCACTCTGCTGCAGGTTTGAGGGCACAGCAGAAGTGGGCTGCCTGCATTCAGTCCACAACCACTGACCAGCGACTCCCTTCATTCCCTTCCTTCCACCCTCCTTCTTTTCCTCCGTTTTCCTTTCTTTTGAAGAGGTCTCACTATGTAGCCCATGCAGGTCTTGAACTCATTATCCTCATGCCTTGGCCTCCCAAGTCCTAGGGGTTACAAGCAGGTGACACTGCACTTAGACTCCATTTACTCTTTCCATGAAAGTAACAGCCTCTGCTGTTGCTCGCACTGATTCTGCATCTTTTGGGTTTTTGAAGAACATGGCATACTTTGGTTCACTTAAATCTCACTACAATCTTGAAAAGCAGGTGTTATTAACCTGTGCCGTAGAAGAGGGAGCTGATAGACTATTTAGTATGATCTAACAGACAGAAAAATAGCACATCTCACAGTAGTGATTTCATGTTTCTCAGGCTAAAGCCTGGAGCTGTTCTCAGGATTCATGGTGTGTTGAAAACACCAGGCCTTGTGGGGCCCTTGGGACTTCCCTTGATCTGGGAACTTAAGGGTTAAAGCTTGGTGCTATAGGACAATGCCTAGTGCTATGGAAGAACTAATCTGCTTAGTTTGCCAGTTGGTGTCATCCTTACAGATCTCTGGAAATCTCACTAGTGCCAAATCTCTCCTCAAACCTATAATGACTCCCTCTATTATGGTATCTCTTATCCTGCTCCCCTCTATCCTTCCCCTGACTCAACCTTCCTATGAAAGGCTCTGGAGATCCCCCATGGAGGCTCTCACCCTCCCTGGGGAACAAAGTGGAGATTGGGTGGGGGACTGGGGAGGGCTGGGGAGGAGGGAAGGGAGAGGGAGCTGGGATTGACATGTGAAGCAAGCTTATTCCTAATTTAAATAAAAAATAACAAAATAACTATTCTGATTCCCAGGATATTCCTGATACCAGTTTGAATACAACCTGTGTTATTTCTGCCAAATTCACTTTGGAAATCCTTATTATGCTCAAATAAAGAACCAGATGGCATAAAGTAGGCACTCTAGCTATTGAGTTTCTGGTTGCCCTCAACCTTGTTCCACGTAAGGGAAGTGAATCTGAGCACCGGAGCAAGATCTATCTCCTCCTTACCCCCTAGATGCTAATCACCCACAATTCCCCTGCTTATGAAGATATTTGAATATTGAGCCTCTTGAGAGCACATAGTTTGTAATCTGGACTGAGTGGTTTATCAAAAATCAAGCCAGAGTGGAACATCCACGCTAGACTTTCCATGGCCTCCTGGGGACAAATGGTCAGACCAGAACAATGCTGAAGCAGGTAAGGCATCTTGGGAGGTGCTGGATCTCCATGTGCTCATTACACTCTATCAGGATATAGAGTGGAATACCAAGCTGTATCTTCCTTCTGTTCTCACTCTGGTTAAAAATGCTTAAGCTATAAAGGTAGCATCTTTTGTGGATTATGTTTGTTTAATGTTGGCAATTAGACTATTCCACTGGGCAAGCTATGAAAAGGATTAAACCTAACAAACAACTTATTTGAGAGAACATAGAAATCAGAGTTTTCATTTGTTGATCATGTAATCTAATTAAAGTCAAGCATTCGAACGTTTGCAAAGGCTTGGTGCGAGTAAAACTGTGAGTGGAGGATACATACTGTACTTCCCACTTGTGCCCAGCTTGCCACTTTATATTCACGACATTGCGCAGGGAGTCCTTGAGAACCTGGAGTAGCTATTCATTCTGGATGTCCCCCTGCCTTCTCTGCTCTCCATTCTTCCTGATGCTCTGCTGGCCAGGGCTAGGCAGAACCTTCTTCAGCCAGAGCCCCTCATTTTAGAAGTGAGAGGACTAGAGGCTGTGAGAAGGCAGATTTTGAAATTTCACCTTTTAGGCCTTGGCTCTTCAAACTATGACCTCTGGGCCAAGACTTTGGTAGGAACACAGGTTCCTGGACTTTCTGGGCAGCTCACTTGTACCTGATCCCTAATGATCTGTATGCTCTTGTGAGTCTGATCGTCCACCTAAACACCATTTGACATATCACCTAATATCATCTAATATGTGTGCATGGGGGGCATTGGTTATAGGATGCTCTAACTCTGAAGACACAGAGTAGTCAGAGCTCCCTGAAGGAGCTGGAGATCGTAAAAGGGTAAACACGAGGCTTAGAAAGGGCTCCTATGCTGGGAGTGGATTCCCACACCTTTGATCCCAACACTCCCGGAGCTCGAGGCCAACCTGGTCTGCAGAGCAATTATCAGGACAGACAAGGCTGCATAGAGAAGCCCTGTCTTGAAACCCCTCCTTCCTCCACAAAAGAAAGGGCTCCTTCCCAGTGACCTTTCTTCCTACGACTGCAGGTGAGTCCTAGTCCAATCTAGTCTAATTCTGAGAGCGCAATATAAAAAATCCTGGACTGGGACTCGAGTTCTTTCTTAAATTATTTAACCCAGTGAAGCTATAAGGAGGTTGAACCTGGCCTGAGACATAAGGTCTTGACACCCTTTCCACAGCTCTGGTAAAGCCTCCCCCCCCTTTTTCTTTTGGCAAGACCAGTGTCTTAGTCTTTAGAGAAAAACCCCAAGGCTTTGAGTATGACTTTGTCAATAAGACATTTTCTAATGTGGAGGCTGGTTCAAGTTGATTTAACCATATCCTTGTTTCCCCTGATAAATGTCACATTTCCATTTTTGTCTCTGCCAAGCTACTTTTGATTCCTCCTGACATTCCC